TATATATATATATATATATATATATGTATATAAACAGTATTTTTGGGGGAAAATAAATTATAGAAATTAATACTTTTATTTAGCAAGGATGCTTTAAATTGATCAAAAGTGATGATATTTCAAATAAATACTGTTCTTCTGAACTTTCTATTTCTTTAAATAAATCTTAAATAAATAAATCTAAAATATTTCACATTTTTACTGTTTTTGCTGTACTTTGGATCAAATAAATGCAGGTTTGGTGAGCAGAAGATACTTTAAAAATCTTACTGTTCAAAAACTTTTGGATATAGTGAAATAGTGAAATTGAGAAAATAAAAGAAAAAAAAATCAAAGAGTGTCAAAGGTTTTGGTGGAATGGGCTTTCAGTGGTGGGAATCTTTCAGGTTTTGTTAAGCATAGCTTAATTTGTGTTTTTCGATGAATGAAAGAGCAACATGAGGGTAAATGAATGATGACTATCTTAATTTCTGGGTGAACCATGCCTTTAATCACTCACACTGTAACACATATAGAACGATACTAAGATTTTTATTTCCTGCATCTTTGAATCAGATAACTGCCCTGAGGCGCCAAGTGCGACCAGCATCAGGCAAGTTTAACCGTAAGGTCAGTTTACCAGAGCCTTTGCAGGAGTCTTCACCCCGTACGGCTGCTATCAGACCACAAACTGCTGGGGCCACAGCTCCTAATTGGACAAGGTAATGTGCGTTTCATTTCAGAAGGGTTGGCTCATGGGTATCTGAGTGACTGATGCGGTCAAAATACTTGTATTTCAGAAAGTACCAGATGAGAACAGGAGGAGTGTACTCTACCAGGACGGCGCGGGCCAAATGGCAGTCGCTAGAGCGGCGCATTAGTGACATCATCATGCAGAGGATGACCATCTCCAATATGGAGACTGACATGAACCGTTTGCTTAAGGTGACCAAGAACAGCTTTTTCATTTGTACTAAACAAATCTCATCAAACGGGACAAAACGTAAACTCATGGTCTCGTGTTGCTTTTTTATTTTGAGCAAATTCAAGATTGAGTTAATTGACAAACTATTCTTTTAATTCTGCGTGCACAGCAACGTGAGGAGTTGACAAAGCGCAGAGAGAAAGTGATGAGGAAGAGGGACAAGATCGCCAGCGAAGACACGGATGCCGACAGGACTGTTCTCTCTCTCAACGAAGAGATGGAGTCGCTGACCGCTAACATCGACTACATCAACGACAGCATTGCGGACTGCCAGGCCAACATCATGCAGATGGAAGAGGCCAAGGTGCTTTGTGTGTTTTGCACAGTATTATACTCTAAGGCTGATGATACACTGGGCAACTTTTTGAGCAATTTTGCTAGGCAACTTTTTTTCGAGCAATGTTGCTTGGGCACTTTCCCTTTGAGAATGGGTAACGAATTTCTATCTGGATATTTTAGATCAGTCGTGGGCCCTGTGTCTCACCTAGTTGCCCATTGATGGCAACATTTCCCAAAGTTGCCCAGTGTATCATCATAATACATACAGAAGCAGTCCCTATTTAAGATGAAAAAAATGCATTGTGGAACAGAAATGTTTGATTCAATGGTTTAAAGGGTTAGTTCACCCAAAAATGATAATTAGACTGTGTTTTTCTTACCCTCATAGCATGTGTATATGACGTTCTTCTTTCAGACGAATCCAGTCAGAGTTATATTAAAAATTGTCCTGGCTATTCCAAGCTCTATCATTGCAGTCAGCGGGTGTTGCAGTTGAACAGTCCACAAGTCGTCAAATAAAGCTTGCGCATTCATAACAAAATGAAAAATATCCATATTTCAAACGTAATAAACACTTTTCTCTCACTTCCGCTGACTGTCATACACTGAAGCAGTTCCGGCGGATGACGTAGCACGTCGGCGTTGCGTGATTAGTGACGAATGCGGAGAGAGAACAAAACGAAATGCTGGTCGCGAATTAGAAGTACAAACCGAGGATTTGCAAAGAGAAATGTCGGAGGATTTCGATATAAGCCAAGAGGAGACTGTTTTTTTTTTTGGCTACAGTAAGGAAACTTTGCTTCCTAATCTCCTATAAACAAACTCGCGAGACTAGCATATCTCAGAGGCGTGCGCGCTGCACATACGTGCTGCGTCATCCGCCAGAACTGCTTCAGTGTATGACAGTCAGCGGAAGTGAGAGAAAAGTGTTTATTACGTTTGAAATATGGATATTTTTCTTTAAAAAATATCGATTGGCTACAGGGGGCCTTTATTCATCCCCCGGAGCCGTCTGCGGCACGTTTTATTATGAATGCGCCAGCTTTATTTGACGACTTGTGGACTGTTCAACTGCAACACCCGCTGACTGCAATGATAGAGCTTGGAATAGCCAGGACAATTTTTAATATAACTGACTGGATTCGTCTGAAAGAAGAACGTCATATACACCTAGGATGCTTCGAGGGTAAGTAAAACACAAGCTAATTTTCATTTTTGGATGAATTAACCCTTTAAAACCTTTTTTCCGCTGTAGGAGGAGGGAGATACAGTGGACGTCTCTGCTGTGATCAGCTCATGCACTCTATCAGAGGCCCGTGTCCTTCTCGACCACTTTCTCTCAATGGCAATCAATAAGGTACTGGAGCTCAGTAGACTTTGATTTTGAAAATAGAGATGCTAAATAAATCAATAATTATACTTCGATTGGTTGATATTTGCGCTTTCACATATTAGCACGACATTGGGCTCATTGGGCCAACTTTCAGGTGTTTGAGTTTTTTTACTGAAAACATATTTTTATGACATTCTACTGGAAAATATAATGTAATATAAGCAATGGAATATAATATAATTGAAGTCAAGCTTTATTGTCATTCTGCTACATGTGTGGACATATTGTGGAACGAAATGTCGTGTCTCACAGGACCACGGTGCTATATACTAATTAAACTTAAATATAAACATACAACAATAGACGTATAAGGCAAACAATTATAAACATATACAACAGTTGACCATCTGACTATACATATACTATAAATAGTTGACTATACATACACATAATCTGAGAGAGACTGTACAAGAACTTTACATAAATACTGGACATGTATACTTTTGTACATGTGTAAAAGAGATATTTTGGGAGAAGCAGCGCAGAGTGCATATATAATATGTGACCCTGGACCACAAAACCAGTCTTAAGTCGCTGGGGTATATTTGTAGCAATAGCCAAAAATACATTGTATGGGCCAAAATTATTGATTTTTTTTTTATGCCTTATATTTTAAATATTGTCATTTAATGTCATGCCATCTTATTTGCTAATATTAAATTGTGTTATGTATGTTGGCTCTTGTCATATCAGTCAACCACTAGTTTAGTAATCGACAGATATTGGTATCAGCCAAAATATCTACAGTGGCGTATTCTTAATTGAAATATCTTTGGTTATAATGATTATCATTGTTATAATGATTAACGGTCTCTGATTTAAGACTTTAGATATCACAAAAAGACATTCACAATACATTTTACATCCATAATAAGACCCTTTTTTGATTGCAACTGAATATTCAATAATGCAGGCCAGGACTTTTTCCACATGGATTTCATCGACTCAAGAAAAGATTGCTATAATAATATAATGTCCAACAACAACTGTTCTCAGGGCTTGCAAGCTGCACAGAAGGAGTCTCAGATCAAAGTGATGGAGGGCCGTTTGAAACAGACAGAGATAAACAGTGCCACACAGAACCAGCTACTCTTCCACATGCTGAAGGAGAAAGCAGAACTCAACCCTGAACTGGACGCTCTGCTCGGGAACGCTCTCCAAGGTCTGACACACATAAACACATGTTCACATTCAGCTGTTTGGTTTTCGTTCTCTAGACTTGTACATTTTAAGTTTAATTTTGATTTGCTTTTGTCTTTTTGTTGCCTGAATTCAAACAGAACTAGGTAGCGTGTCATCGGGTAAGTAGAGGCCACTAGAGCTGTCCACCAGTGCATGTGTCTCTCCCTCAGACTAACAGACAGTAACAGTAGCGTAGAGCTGCATGGGTCTTGCTTAAACCCCCTGTGGACTTTACTCTTTGAGGAACATGAGGTCTCTCAACTGGAGCATCAACTATAAAAGCACTTAAAAAGTCTTAAGAGCTTGAAGACCCTTGGAGGATGTAGAGTCTTATAGTGTTAGATTCAGCTCTAATTCCAGTATTATACTGTATGATAAAAAATAATAATAAAATTGTGAACACTGCAAAGATATAAAATTTCTTAGTTTCTCAACTATTCCTTATGATGTTTTTAATAGCATATGTGACCCTGGACAACAAAACCAAAAACATTTTTAAATAATTTTTATACATTTTTAAATAAGCTTTCCACTGATGTATGGTTTGTTAGGATAGGACAATATTTGGCCGAGATACAACTATTTGAAAATCTGGAATCTGAGGGTGCAAAAAAATCAAAATACTGAGAAAATCACCTTTAAAGTTGACTAAATGAAGTTCTTAACAATGCATATTACTAATCAAAAATTATGTTTGAATGTATTTACGGTAGGAAATTTACAAAATATCTTCATGGAACATGATCTTTACTTAATATCCTAATGATTTTTGGCATAAAAGAAAAATCGATAATTTTGACCCATACAATGTTTTTTTTGCTGTTGCTACAAATATACCCCAGCGACTTAAGACTGGTTTTGTGCTTCAGGGTCACATATTTATACAACTATTTAATGTCACATTTAAGAGATTGAAACTACATTAGCAAAAATGCAGGTAGATATGGGAAGTTTGATATATTCTCGCAAACCAGTTCTTTTGAACAATCGATTACATTAATTAAATCAGTTCAAGACAAAGTCATTGAAGAAGAAACAGAACAAACTGAGACAGACAGATAGATAGATACTCTATCAGAGGCCCGTGTCCTTCTCGACCACTTTCTCTCAATGGCAATCAATAAGGTACTGGAGCTCAGTAGACTTTGATTTTGAAAATAGAGATGCTAAATAAATCAATAATTATACTTCGATTGGTTGATATTTGCGCTTTCACATATTAGCACGACATTGGGCTCATTGGGCCAACTTTCAGGTGTTTGAGTTTTTTTACTGAAAACATATTTTTATGACATTCTACTGGAAAATATAATGTAATATAAGCAATGGAATATAATATAATTGAAGTCAAGCTTTATTGTCATTCTGCTACATGTGTGGACATATTGTGGAACGAAATGTCGTGTCTCACAGGACCACGGTGCTATATACTAATTAAACTTAAATATAAACATACAACAATAGACGTATAAGGCAAACAATTATAAACATATACAACAGTTGACCATCTGACTATACATATACTATAAATAGTTGACTATACATACACATAATCTGAGAGAGACTGTACAAGAACTTTACATAAATACTGGACATGTATACTTTTGTACATGTGTAAAAGAGATATTTTGGGAGAAGCAGCGCAGAGTGCATATATAATATGTGACCCTGGACCACAAAACCAGTCTTAAGTCGCTGGGGTATATTTGTAGCAATAGCCAAAAATACATTGTATGGGCCAAAATTATTGATTTTTTTTTTATGCCTTATATTTTAAATATTGTCATTTAATGTCATGCCATCTTATTTGCTAATATTAAATTGTGTTATGTATGTTGGCTCTTGTCATATCAGTCAACCACTAGTTTAGTAATCGACAGATATTGGTATCAGCCAAAATATCTACAGTGGCGTATTCTTAATTGAAATATCTTTGGTTATAATGATTATCATTGTTATAATGATTAACGGTCTCTGATTTAAGACTTTAGATATCACAAAAAGACATTCACAATACATTTTACATCCATAATAAGACCCTTTTTTGATTGCAACTGAATATTCAATAATGCAGGCCAGGACTTTTTCCACATGGATTTCATCGACTCAAGAAAAGATTGCTATAATAATATAATGTCCAACAACAACTGTTCTCAGGGCTTGCAAGCTGCACAGAAGGAGTCTCAGATCAAAGTGATGGAGGGCCGTTTGAAACAGACAGAGATAAACAGTGCCACACAGAACCAGCTACTCTTCCACATGCTGAAGGAGAAAGCAGAGCTCAACCCTGAGCTGGATGCTCTGCTCGGGAATGCTCTCCAAGGTCTGACACACATAAATGCACAATTCACATTTAGCTGTTTGGTTTTCGTTCTCTAGACTTGTTCCTTTGAGATCACTTAAGTTTGATTTTGATTTGCTTTTGTCTTTGTGTTGCCTGAATTCAAACAGAACTAGGTAGCGTGCCATCAGGTAAGTACTGTAGAGGCCACTAGAGCTGTCCACCAGTGCATGTGTCTCTCCCTCAGACTAACAGACAGTAACAGTAGCGTAGAGCTGCATGGGTCTTGCTTAAACCCCCTGTGGACTTTACTCTTTGAGGAACATGAGGTCTCTCAACTGGAGCATCAACTATAAAAGCACTTAAAAAGTCTTAAGAGCTTGAAGACCCTTGGAGGATGTAGAGTCTTATAGTGTTAGATTCAGCTCTAATTCCAGTATTATACTGTATGATAAAAAATAATAATAAAATTGTGAACACTGCAAAGATATAACATTTCTTAGTTTCTCAACTATTCCTTATGATGTTTTTAATAGCATATGTGACCCTGGACAACAAAACCAAAAACATTTTTAAATAATTTTTATACATTTTTAAATAAGCTTTCCACTGATGTATGGTTTGTTAGGATAGGACAATATTTGGCCGAGATACAACTATTTGAAAATCTGGAATCTGAGGGTGCAAAAAAATCAAAATACTGAGAAAATCACCTTTAAAGTTGACTAAATGAAGTTCTTAACAATGCATATTACTAATCAAAAATTATGTTTGAATGTATTTACGGTAGGAAATTTACAAAATATCTTCATGGAACATGATCTTTACTTAATATCCTAATGATTTTTGGCATAAAAGAAAAATCGATCATTTTGACCCATACAATGTTTTTTTTGCTGTTGCTACAAATATACCCCTGCGATTTAAGACTGGTTTTGTGCTCCAGGGTCACATATTTATACAACTATTTAATGACACATTTAAGAGATTGAAACTACATTAGCAAAAATGCAGGTAGATATGGGAAGTTTGATATATTCTCGCAAACCAGTTCTTTTGAACAATCGATTACATTAATTAAATCAGTTCAAGACAAAGTCATTGAAGAAGAAACAGAACAAACTGAGACAGATAGATAGATAGATAGATAGATAGATAGATGGAGCTGTACAGCTGAACTGCATATTCATTAACTAGTTTCCTTTCTCTGCGTCTGACTTAGTTGACCATCCTTAAAAAAGATGTTTGCAACCCTAATGCTGGTGTCCTGGCTAGAGACTGACCATATCTCCTGTCCTCTAGTTCTGTTGAATTCAGGGTTGTGATAACAACACTATGATGCATGTCGCTTGAATATTAATGTTCACTGATATCATACTGACAAAGCTAAAATGAGGGAGCACAAGTGTTTCTGATGCTAAAGTGTGTGTGTGTGTGTGTGTTTGCTCAGAAAATGGCGATGAAAGCAGCAGCGATGAATCAGCACAGACTCCAGCCACAGAGAAGAGGTAAAGCACTAGAGTCAGGCCAATAAAACTCTTTAAACTCAATTGTAAATTAGGCTTGATAGACGGTGCTGACGGTGATACCGGTGTTAAGCCACAGCACCGGTTATGTCACTTGCCCACCGCGGCACCGACCCCCACCATCGTTTTGGTTTTTATAGTAATAAAAATCATTTAGTTCAGTAAAAGAACAGACACTACAATTAAAAACTGAATGCGGCTGCTCAATGCAGCGTGCCGAACGACAGTCGCATCACAGATCAGATTTCATTTATCCAGTGAGGAGAGTGAGTCGAGCTGACTGACAAGAAGAGTGAGTTGAGGTGAGACAGACAAGACGATGGCGGATGATTTAGTTTCGAAACGAGATGCAAAAGCGCCTGTTTGGCAATATTTTGGATTTTGAAAAGCCTGTCGACTTTTGCCGTTTATCTAAGGTGATTTTGGAAGTTTTTTTAAACATTCGTTTCTTATTTAATTGGTTCCACATGCTGATTTTTACTTTATTTAAACTGTCATTTTTTATTTTTTTTTCACATCAAGGTGTATGCCGTGCCTCCAAGCTTTCTTACTCGTTTTGCTAATAAACATTCTACGTTTCTTATTTATTTGGTTATATATTATACATGTTTACTTAGCCTATTCACAGTTTTGTATACCTATTTAAACTTTATGTAAGTTATTTGTTATTTTATGTTATGCATATCCTGCCCTATAGCATGGTGTATTTTTATTTGTTTAGTTAATAAAAGTTCTATGTTTTATATATATATGCTAAAGTGACTTTGACATTGTTTTTTGTTGTTGCATTCAAGCAATTGACGCCGAACTGCCGCTAATTCGAAAGCGAAAGTAAAATGCGCACGGCGCTTTTAAGCTATTTAAAAGCGAACGAAAGTGAGGAAAAGAGGGGAAATTCAAACGAACTAAAAACGAACAATTGCTTTACGCCGAATTGCCGCTATTTGAAAGTGAAAATAAAATGCGCACGCAGCTTTTACAAGATATTTAAAAGCGAAGGAATGCGAGGAATGCCCGGCCCCACGGTGATACTGGTATTACTGGTGTCATCACACGCCGATTAACCGGTGGGAAAATTTCCTCACTGTCACAACCCTATTGTAAATCTGCCTTGATGTAATTCACTTGATGTCAGTCATTTGGTGAAGGCTAATTTAATCTACTTGTGAAATTGTTTGTTGTGTGCTTTTTGGAGGCACTACTGTATACTGTATAACATGTTCATCCGCAAACAGTTATTTGGCTGCTTTGTGCATTTAAATCAATATCAACGTCTGTTTCTGTGTCTCTTGTAGTTGTTTGGCTTCAGATCTCATGAAACTTTGTGGAGAAACCAAAGCCAGGAATAAGGTAGAACAGTAGTAATTCTTTTATTCATTCATTTATATATTTAAAAAACAACTACAGTATTTAATAATAAATCAATTTAAATACAATGTGATCAAAACCTATTGTGACAAGTAGTTTGTTAAAATAGCCTATTTGGTTTTGCATTATTTACTTCCCACTCTGTTATCCACATAATTATGGTTTAACTAATTGATAATCACAGACTAATAGTTTGTTATACAACAATAATAACAGTAACAGAAGCCCTAATTATCTTCATTGAAGAGAAAAAAAGAATGTTGAGGGCATTAACTGAGCTGAATACTAGATCATAAGACAAAAGCATGAAAAAATAATGCTTTTATTTTCCCTGATGTATGAATTCATTATTTGAGTATGTGATCAATTTAGGCTCGCAGAAGAACCACCACCCAAATGGAGCTGCTGTACGCCAACACTGGTGACCCTGACGCCCCTCCAGAGGATTTCTCTGCCCCTCTGCTTCCTGTAGTGGAGAGTCCAGAAGGACATAAAGAACCTGCACCCATTCCCTACTTAGGAGACAGAGACTCAGTGGCCTTCACCTCTAGCTTAGCATCCAAGACAAATGCTGTGTAAGTGTTTGGCAAGCAGAAGCATAATCCAAGTATTATGTAAACATTTATTTTTACCATCTTTTTTGAAAAATCATTTCATTCAAGCAGCCATTCCTTTATTCTAAACTGCTCATAAACATGTCGACACATTCTAATAAACTTTACAGTCACGTCTGATGTGAGGTTTTTAAGTCACACTGGCTTTTGTCTAATGCGTAGCTCCAGTGCCAGATCTCCAACGGCTACAGAAAGGAAGTCTCTGGACCGCTCGCCACTCACCCGCAGAAGAGCACAGGACAGGAGCCAGAACCCTACAGAAAGAACCAAAACCCTGGACAAACAGTAAGAAATGGCTTGCTACTCATAAATGTCCTCCTTCCAAACATCTTTGCTAAATTTGTTTACAGATGTTCTAAAGTGAACATCTATACTTTCATTCCCATAACAAAATAACCACTTTTACATTATTTCCAACCAAGTTTCAGCCAGTTTTTCAGTTTTCATTTGTTCTGTTCAGGGACTGCTGTTGTGTTAGAAACACAAAAATAGCATCTATCTCTCCACTTCAAAACCTGATTTGCTTTGCTCTTCCCATAATTCTTATCTCTGTCTGATCCTGCATTGATGTGGGAGTGGCGGCTCTTGTTGTGAAACTGCATATCGTCTGTGGTATTCAGTTTGGACATGTACATACACATATCTGCTATAATAAAGGCCTTCACTCGTTCAAAATTACATAATTATGATATGTTTTTGAGGATGTCATTTATTGTAATGAAATGATTTGCAATTTCTCCAAACATGTCTTAAACGGTTAGTTCACACAAAAATTTAAATTCTACAAGTAGTTTGTTAAAATAGCCTATTTGGTTTTGCATTATTTACTTCCCACTCTGCTATCCACATAATTATGGTTTAACTAATTGATAATCACAGACTAATAGTTTGTTATACAACAATAATAACAGTAACAGAAGCCCTAATTATCTTCATTGAAGAGAAAAAAGAATGTTGAGAGCATTAACTGAGCTGCATACTAGATCATAAGACAAAAGCATGAAAAAATAATGCTTTTATTTTCCCTGATGTATGAATTCATTATTTGAGTATATGATCAATTTAGGCTCGCAGAAGAACCACCACCCAAATGGAGCTGCTGTACGCCAACACTGGTGACCCTGACGCCCCTCCAGAGGATTTCTCTGCCCCTCTGCTTCCTGTAGTGGAGAGTCCAGAAGGACATAAAGAACCTGCACCCATTCCCTACTTAGGAGACAGAGACTCAGTGGCCTTCACCTCTAGCTTAGCATCCAAGACAAATGCTGTGTAAGTGTTTGGCAAGCAGAAGCATAATCCAAGTATTATGTAAACATTTATTTTTACCATCTTTTTTGAAAAATCATTTCATTCAAGCAGCCATTCCTTTATTCTAAACTGCTCATAAACATGTCGACACATTCTAATAAACTTTACAGTCACGTCTGATGTGAGGTTTTTAAGTCACACTGGCTTTTGTCTAATGCGTAGCTCCAGTGCCAGATCTCCAACGGCTACAGAAAGGAAGTCTCTGGACCGCTCGCCACTCACCCGCAGAAGAGCACAGGACAGGAGCCAGAACCCTACAGAAAGAACCAAAACCCTGGACAAACAGTAAGAAATGGCTTGCTACTCATAAATGTCCTCCTTCCAAACATCTTTGCTAAATTTGTTTACAGATGTTCTAAAGTGAACATCTATACTTTCATTCCCATAACAAAATAACCACTTTTACATTATTTCCAACCAAGTTTCAGCCAGTTTTTCAGTTTTCATTTGTTCTGTTCAGGGACTGCTGTTGTGTTAGAAACACAAAAATAGCATCTATCTCTCCACTTCAAAACCTGATTTGCTTTGCTCTTCCCATAATTCTTATCTCTGTCTGATCCTGCATTGATGTGGGAGTGGCGGCTCTTGTTGTGAAACTGCATATCGTCTGTGGTATTCAGTTTGGACATGTACATACACATATCTGCTATAATAAAGGCCTTCACTCGTTCAAAATTACATAATTATGATATGTTTTTGAGGATGTCATTTATTGTAATGAAATGATTTGCAATTTCTCCAAACATGTCTTAAACGGTTAGTTCACACAAAAATTTAAATTCTGTCTTCATTTACTCACCCTCAAGATGTTCCCAGTTTCTTTTTTCTGTTGAGCACAAAATAATAATTTAGAGTATTTATAGAACGTGGGTGACCAAACAGTTGACGGAAGCCAATGACTTCCATAATATGGAAAAAGAAATATTATGACTACCATCAACTGTTTGGTTACCCACATTCTTCAAAAATATCTTTGTTTGTGTTCAGCAGAAGAAAGAAACTCATACAGGTTTGGAACAAAATGAGGGTGAGTAAACAATGACAGAATTTAAATTTTTGGGTGAACCAACTTTTTAAGGTCTGGCAAAATGTTGTCAAAATATTTCCAAAAAAGGTCCATTGGAAACAGTGTATGATCGCGTGAATTCATATTGTAATAACTTGGATTTTGCAGTGTGTTCAAGTTTGCTAATGTGGATTCACCGCAGTGACAAACAGAAAATGGCTTAGTTGACCACTGTGTGAACTGTGCTTCACATTACTACACCCGTTGAACCTGTTGCAAAATCTGCGTGGGAAAATCTTTCGCCCTCACATGAAATTTCCAATACCTTGGATTCTTATTGAAATGAATGGATTTGCTGGCGAAAATTCTGTGACCACACCTTTAGAACAACCTATGATGCCTAAAAGCACTCTCTAGCTATAGGTAGCTTTGAAACGGAGCCAGTGTATTTTATTAATCTGATTTTATTGAGTGTTTAATGCATCAGTATCATGTGTTTTTTGGTCCAGAGGTCCTGCAGCAAGCCCAGCTCAGGCGGTGCGCTCCAGTCGAGCAGCCAGACTGCAGTGTGTGCATGTGGCCGAGGGTCATACTAAACCCCTGCTGTGTGTGGACTCAACTGATGATCTGCTCTTCACTGGCTCAAAGGGTCAGTGAACTTTTTGTTTTCATGTAAGGAGTTACAGCCTTACAAACAGGTCTTTACTACAGTAAAATACAAAGGAGTATATAATTTATGTCACCTCATGCACAGTCAGCCGGTTGTTTATTATGCAATAATGACGATCTATATATTATGCTATATATTACATGGTTGTTTAACAGATACATGGGTGTAACATTGATCTGAGTTTAAATTATTATTAGCTAACTAAAATTCAGGTAATACATTCAATCCATCTCTTCTAGCAGCAGTAAATAAGGGGGTTGGATCAGAGGGTTAAAGGGATAGTTCACCCCAAAATGAAAATTCTGTTATTAATTACTCACCCTCATGTCGTTCCAAACCCGTAAGACCTTCGTTCATCTTCGGAACACAATTTAAGATATTTTTGATGAAATCCGAGAGCTTTCTGACCCTCCCATAGACAGCAATGGAACTACCATGTTCAAGGCCCAGAAAAGTAGTAAGGACATCGTTAAAATAATCCATGTGACATCAGTGATTCAACCGTAATTTTATGAAGCTACGAGAATACTTTTTGTGCACAAAGAAAACATTCAAAAATTTCTTGTTCTGCTCAGTCTTCGACGCGTTCCCAATAGTACCACAATGCGCAATATAACTAATTATGAATGCAAAGAATTTCTGCTTCTGAATTTCAGAGTGTTACCCTTAATGCATTGCCAGTACAAGAGTGATAAACATTAGCTGTGTCTCATTTAGAAGGCTGCACCCTCCGGAGGTCGAATCCTCTGGAGGTCGCATCCTCTGTAGGATGCATATACGAAGTGTCCTCAACCTAGAATTAAACGAGACGGCCTTCGTAGGACAGGCGGAAAAGGAAACCAGAAGTATCACGTTGCTATGCCAACATATTAGAGCATCGTTGCGCTCTCACACTACTTAAATGAAGGATAATTATTTCTAAATTTGGAAAGTAATTAAAAAAATTTACTTGAGAGCATCGTTGCGCTCTCACACTACTTAAATGAAAGATAATTATTTCTAAATTTGGAAAGTAATTAAAAAAATTTACTTGTTTCCTTCTTTATCTCAGATCGCACATGTAAGGTGTGGAACCTGGTAACGGGTCAGGAGATCATGTCTCTTGGAGATCATCCCAGCAGTGTAGTGTCAGTCCGATACTGTTCCAGCCTGGTCTTCACTGTCTCTACTGCTTATGTCAAAGTATGGGACATCCGTGACTCTGCCAAATGCATCCGCACCCTCACGTGAGTCATCCTGGTATTGCTTAATTTATTGAAAGCCAGTGTTCTCTAATGCTTCTAAATATTTTACCTATGGTTGCTCATTTTTAGCTCTGTGTCTTCTTCAGATCTTCTGGACAGGTGTCTCAAGGTGACACTTGTGGAAGCAGTTCTGTTGCCATTCCTCCAGGAGAAAATCAGATCAATCAGATCGCCCTCAATCCTTCCGGAACATTCCTTTATGCTGCATCAGGCAACACGGTCAGGATGTGGGACTTGAGAAGGTACTAAACAAAGACTGTAGGGACTATAGGGACTATAACTAAGAAATGCATTTTACAGTGCTCATGGTGATAGTGTTACTTTCAAATATTCAAATCAAACTAGATGTTGTTTTACTCATCTACAGATGTGGCCATTGAGAATGCACTTTTTTTCACATGGTAGCACGCAAATCGTCACACTAATTTGTACACTCAACCCTGTTGAAAAAAACAGCATATGCTGGTTAGGTATGTTTTGATGCTGGGATGCTGGTTTAAGCTGGTCCTTTGCTGGTTTATGCTGGTCCTTTGCTGGTTTAAGCTGGTCCTTTTGCTGGTTTATGCTGGTCCTTTGCTGGTTTAAGCTGGTCCTTTTGCTGGTTTATGCTGGTCCTTTGCTGGTTTAAGCTGGTCCTTTTGCTGGTTTATGCTGGTCCTTTGCCAGCACATGACCAGCATAAACCAGCAAAGGACCAGCTTAAACCAGAACATACCAACAAACCAAAACATACCTAACCAGCTATTTTTTCAGAGATTTTTTCAACAGGAAACTAGCTATATTCTCTTAAACCCAACTACTGTATAACAATAGTTGACCTAAAAGAGGGAATGGATCGTAGAAGGCATGCTAATGTACTCATTTAACTAACCTGGGGTGTGTTTCCCAAAAGCATTGTTAGCCAACTATGGTCACAAGTTCCATTGTTACCAACATTCAATTCAGTGTTTCTGAAACGACTAATGTGGTTCGCAGTTTGTGTGATTGGAACTACAGCTCTCAACCTGTGGTCCCAAGCATATTTTCTTGTTACTATGACATGCTAATTGACATGCATGACTTGCATGACTCACAATAGTCATTTTGGTGCGCACACTGGTTCGTTTGATGTCAGATTTTGGTTCGTATGGATGATTTGAATGCTGTTTTCCGAAGCTGTGTACACACCAGCAAAGTATAAAAGTAAAGAGAACAATGGTATGTATTTTGCAATATTCTCCTGCATCGTTGTTAACTAGCAAAATGGGTAGTGCAAACAAAATATTGAGTAGTCAAAATTAGGTTTGGACCAAACAATGAAGCAAGCATCATGTTGTAGTTGGCAAGTATAAGACGCCTTTTAAAACCTTTGTAGTGTATTCTAGCATTAAGTCTCCATTTACACATTATTTGTTTGTGTTGTCTACAGGTTTGTATCTACTGGAAAACTGACGGGACATCTGGGGCCGGTAATGTGTCTTACGGTAGACCAGATGGGGAAGGGTCAAGATGTGGTCATAACAGGCTCAAAAGATCACACCGTGAAGGTATGTTCGGACATTCTAACATGCTCTCTGTGAACTAATGTGCACATGCTGATTTCCATATAATAATTTTCACCTTTTGGTCATGGCTCATGCACAATTATACCAGCTGTAGCAGCTCATTTATGGATGCTTGAACACAAACAGTAGTTTAAACCATTAATATGGCCTCAAGTGCAACAAGAAACAAAATGGCTATCCAGGAACATGCTTTCGGACTCTGATAGACATGCTTTTTGGGACTTGTGATGCATCTCTAAGGCTTTTATTTTCATGTGTTGCAGATGTTTGACGTGGTGGAAGGCGCTCAGGGCAGCATCAGCGCCACACATCATTTCGACCCATCCCATCAGGATGGGCTGGAGGCTCTGGCCATTCACGGCGATGCACTTTTTACTGCTGCCAGAGACTCCTGCATTAAGAAATGGGACTTAACCCGCAAACAGCTACAAGAGGTAAGTAATGTTGCAAGGAAAGTCAGCTTTGCGGTAAACGCTATGGCTGTGTTCCAGATCCTAGTGAGCTGCCTACCTAAGCAGCATTTTCAGGCATCGTTCCCAAAACTAAATCGGTCCCAAACAGTATGCAGCAAAACTGCGGTGCCTACTTTTAAGATCTCACTGTGACTCAAATGTAAGTCAGCATTGCAATAATTATTTGAAGAATAGTCCTTGTACTTGTCATTTAAGATGATGGAATCACGATCAAATATTATTCGAAATATACCTCCTTTTATTGTAATACTGAATAAGTACTCTTAGAAACTGGTTATGGTTAATCTCATTAAAATGTGGCTATTTTACACAATATGTAGCCTAATGTAGCTTAGCCACATGCGAACACAAAACTTTTGCAATCAACTTAACTGTGAATCACTCTTATGAGAAGATTAAGATGCTAGACTAGCATAACATGCTACATACTTTTAAAAGCAAATGTTAGCAGTCTAGTGTCTTAGTGTTTCATTTATTAAGTCATTAGCTTAGCAATATGCTAATGCCTAAAGTCTTTAATACTTGGAAAAAGCTATTTGTTAGCATTTCCATTCATCTTGGTAGCGGTTATTTGGTTTCAGATGTTTCCCTATTTTGACAGTAGACAGATCACTAGAGTTTGGAACAGGGTTGACCTGAAATGACTTTTAACTATCACACATAAAACCCTCACACTTTCGGTTATCCTGCTGTAATTGATTTGTTTGCATGTTTTCTTCATCTTGCAGCAGGTAGAACAGGCTCACTCTGATCTCCTGAGCTCTCTGGCGGTGGTCCCTGGCTCCAGCGCTGTTATGAGCGGCTGCAAGAGCGGACTGCTCAAATTCTGGCACACAGACACGCTTAGAGCTCTGGGAGAAATAAGGGGTCATGACAGCTCTGTCAATGACATCTGCACAAACAGCAGTCAGCTCTTTACCGCCTCAGAGTGAGTGACAGACATTCAGATATCAACAAAGAACATACACATATATAATAGGGTGACCATACGTGCCATTTTCCCAGGAAGCGTCTTGACCAGGATTTCTATATTGCCTAAAATATCTAGGATATTTTAGGCAATATAGAAATCCTGGCCAGGACGCATCCTGGGAAAATGGCACGTATGGTCACCCTAATATATAAAATACAAATAAACAGAACTTACTTTAGCTTATGTTAGCATAAGCTTCAGTTTTAGCTTATGCTAACAACCACTCAACTTAGCAATACCTTGGTAACAACCAAACAACCTAACCCAAAACCCAATGCATAGCAACATTCTGCCATGATGGAACTGCTTACATTGCCATGCTGAAACTTTGTGAGGTTGTCAGTTAGTAATTACAACATTGTGGCAACATCATGGATCAATAGTTGTTCATTTTCACTTGTTGTTCTATGGATGGACATGCCCAAGTTAATAAGTCATTAAATTATCAAAGTATTTTGAATATAGTATGTAACTGAAATGTTCTTGGATAACTTACGAACTTACAAACTCATACCTGATATTGTTTTGAGTTGGTTATTTGATGGTAATGCTGTGTTGTCTCTACAATGTCATGAAATTACTAAAAAGTGTAAATACATTATGTTACGGGTATGTTAGCAAGCTATTGTGCTAAAAATGATTAGAACACCCTACTAACTACATGGGAACCTTTTTGCAAATGGATAGCAACAGAGCTGGGTAGTAACTGATTACATATAATCTTGCAGATTGCAAAAAATCAAGTATATTATGTAATATAATACTCATAATCAGATTACAGTTACTTTTTTATGGATTACAGGATTACGCTATTCATGCAGTGTCAGTAAATTATACATAATTTATTTATTCTCCCTAATTTTTATATTTTTTATATTTTTTAAATGAGCTTTGACTATATTCACAATATATACGTTGAATGGCCATGTAAATGTCATGAAAATAATTTTACGATCCATGCTTCTGAATTTGGGCGAGAAAGTACTTCTCAAGCAGTTAGACCATGTATGAAACAAAGGGATTCGCAAACATTTTTGTCAGCCGGAAATATCTCTGAGGACATTAATATTTCAGTTATTTAAAAACACATTTGCATGTTTACAGTTCAATGTTGCTTATGGTCGCATCGACATGCAGCTAAACAAATTCAATATTTCTTTTAAATATTTTAGTGTTTCAATATTTTTATTTTTTTTAAATGACATTTTTATTATTTAATTAATTATTCGCTTTTTTATCAACTCACAAACCCACGGCAGTTCTTACATTAAGCCTAGTTTGGGAAACCCTGGTGTAATGTTAAATGCATCTTATAATGTTGAAATCAAAAAATGGAATGTCTTTTCTTTCTCTTTGCTTTTTATATCAATATGGTATGTTAAATGGTAAGTTTAAAACAAGTTCGATTAAAAAGTAATCTAAAAGTAGTCAGAATACATTACCTAAAATGAGTAACCTGGATTACGTTACTAACTACAGTTTTGATAATCTAATCTATAATCAGCGATGGACTACTGTAACTACTAGTACTGACTACTAGTAATACACCCTAGCAACTGTGTAGCAACACATTAGCAACCACTCAGGATTCACAACAGCCTAGCATTGTGGCAGCTTTTGGCCCATAACTTTTCAGAAAATATAGAAAACGGTTGCTAACGCTGCTTTAAAGTGAGCAGTAAAACTGTATAAATTATTGATTCGAATTCTCCCGTTGCTTTTTCACAGTGACCGGACAGTCAAGATCTGGCAAGTGAACGGATCTTTAGAGGACGGCCTTCACTGATGAGAACACAAGGTCACTGTGAAGGTTTTGGCTTCCCAGAAGAATTTCCTCTACCAATGTGATGCTTCTTTCCTGACACTTTGGCAGCGATTCAGAGGAGAGCTTCCTGTTGTAGCTGCTGTATATTTCCTCATCTACAGTGTTGAAGTGCCCCATTTAGCTGTTGCTGACTGTAAAGGGGGGATATTGTAGGTCAATAAGTGTTTTTTTTGGTGTGGCACCGTCCTAAAGCTGGGCTTTGGGCATCACAGACTGCCGTATGAGCAGTGCTTAAGAAGCACACGTGTTTGTGAATGTCATGTTGACTGGACTGAACCGATATGCATTTTAAATTATTCGTTAATATTGATGTCAGCTCTTTTCCGATGTTTGTTGACCAAAGTTAGACTCTCTTTGTGTGAATCTTTCCGATGGAACTACGACACGTCCCAGATCTCAATGCACCCGTACTGTAGTCTTAACTGCACTGGGAACTGTTCAATGATATTTGCACCAGTGTCTGTCCTACCTTTATATAAAGCCTGAACTGATTCTTTTTCATTTTCTGGTTGAAACCTTAGAGTACGCTGTGCAAAAATGATTTCCTCTGATGTACTGTAGTTATTATCAATGTCAGATGGCGAGTGAAATAAACTACATCTGTCAAAATCTTACAGGTGTTTCTGCAGTGTTTTAGTCTAACAGAATAAGCTTAAAGGAATGTAATGTGCTTGATATAATGTTGAGTAGTGAAACTGCAGGGTCAGAATAATATCACTAGGTGGCAGTCCACACATAATGGACGGTGAACTGGCAAATATAGTGTATGGATATACTGTAGATGGTCTTTACATTAAAGGGACTATTTGAAAAAAATTACATTGACATTTATCATTTTTTCGGGGATCAAAAAGCGCTTGGGAGTTTTGAGTGTTTCTGAATTAAAATCATGGCCTGGGCACAAACCCAAAAATTCTGTAAATCTGGCAAAATGTAAAAAAAAAATTTACCACTCTTACAAATGAGTAAAATGCAATTCAGTGTAATATTAACCAAACAAAAAAAATATATATATTAAATAAAATGAAAAAAAGATTATTATGGATTTAAACCAACCTTAATGCGCCTCAAAAATGACCTTTGACCCCTAGCATGCCGAATTTGAATCCATGCACATTTTAATTTGATACTTGTTGCCAATTAATGTTAATGTACCAATTAATGTAATGCCAATTAGATGTTAGTGTGGCTCTATTTAAAACGAATTATCCCTGCAAATGTGTTCTCATTAGTTTTATGATAATGTTTGAAATAGCTTGATATAACGAAGCAATTATGTTTATGAACTAATGAAATCTTATGTATACTGTATATATATATATATATATATCAGTACATTAATTTATCTTTTTTTTATATTTTACATTTTTTTTAGTAGCACTAGTTACACTTCTGCAACACCTGTGGCCTCTTGCCCAAAACAAATTCTGAGTTTTAGAGTTTAGAGTTGACAAAACCAAACAAGGCCTAATGGTTAGGAGAGTCGAACTCGTAACCCAAAGGTTGCTGGTTCGAGTCTCGTACCGGCAGGGATTGTAGGTGGGGGGGGTGAATGTACAGCACTCTCTCCCACCTTCAATACCACGACTGAGGTCCACTTGAGCAAGGCACCGAACCCCCAAGGCAAGCTCCCCGGGCGCCGCAGCATAAATGGCTGCCCACTGCTCCGGGTGTGTGTTCACAGTGTGTGTGTGCGCACTTTGGATGGGATAAATGCAGAGCACTAATTCCGAATATGGGTCACCATACTTGGCCACATGTCACTTCACTTCACAATTCCAATCCAGTTTGGATTGTGTTCAGCAGCAAACCCACTCACTTCGGGTCAATGGGTTTGGAAGTGAAAAAAAAAAAGTGAACTGATTTCCGGGTTTTGTACTCGTTCCTGCAGCACTCGATTAAGAGATAGTAGCTAACCGTTGTATAACGTTGTAGCTGACAGACATGGTGCAAGACCTTCTCTTACACGCAGCACCCCAGCGCCCAGCAGCTGTCTCTATCTCACAAGGCACTCATCTAAATTTAGAATAAGAGGGAACTCACTCAGCTGTGAGGAATCTCTCAGCTCAAGCACAAACACCCTCACGTCATCTATCCGTTCTCAGCTGTAATGCCAGTCATCCGTCTGCCCTTACTGGAAGAATAATACAAACATACTGTATTCAGTATGAACAACTGTAGACAGGTGCGAATGAAAAAAAAAAAACTCAATATAAAAATTAATTCTCTGAATAAAAATGCCATGTTTTATCTCTTGATGAGAGCGTGTCTAACAAATCAAATGTCTTTGCTTCATCAGAAATAGCCTTTAAATCAATCAGAATGTCTCACCAGGAAGAACAATCCACTCTCTGAGGTGTACGGATGAAGAGATAATGAAAATGACCTGCTGAGATGAGGAGGTCTAATTTTTCATCTTCATTTTTTGTAAGCAAGTGACATTAAGATAAAAAACAACAACAATTAAAATGACAACCCCGGATGCTGATTGGCCAATACAGTATTTATTGTGAAAGAAAATATGAAATGAAATGAAAGAACGTGCATTTGAAGAGATCTTTTTATCCTTTTTAGAATGTATTATTATTATTATTATTATTAAATGAATATACTGTAAGTCCTATTATGTTACATGTTTAAAACAATATATTTTTGATCAAACAATATGTGCCAAAAGCAAGGTAATTTGTATATTTTATAAATTGACATAGTTTTCGCATCGAAAAAGCCAAAGCATCAATGTTTGCGTGTGACCAAGCAATGCACAGAATGGAACAGAGTATGTGAGTGAAGATGGGACAGCAATTTCTTCACTTCAATGATCACTCCAGGTTTTCCAGCTCCACTCCGGGTTTCCCATTTTATGTTCCCTACTTGTGCAACAAACTTCCACTACAAAGGATCCTGAAGCAAGTGAAAAAGCAAATACTCCAATTTTTTTTAAAAATGAATAAAATAAAATTTAATTTAATTTAATTTGTATAATGCTGGATGGACAGTCAGAATCAGTGTTGTTATTTTTAACTTAAACTTCCGCCATTTAAAATCATTTTCGTTAACTGAAATAAAAAGTGGATGCTGATTGGCCAATACAGTATTTATTGTGAAAGAAAATATGAAATGAAATGAAAGAACGTGCATTTGAAGAGATCTTTTTATCCTTTTTAGAATATTATTATTATTATTATTATTAAATGAATATACTGTAAGTCCTATTATGTTACATGTTTAAAACAATATATTTTTGATCAAACAATATGTGCCAAAAGCAAGGTAATTTGTATATTTTATAAATTGACATAGTTTTCGCATCGAAAAAGCCAAAGCATCAATGTTTGCGTGTGACCAAGCAATGCACAGAATGGAACAGAGTATGTGAGTGAAGATGGGACAGCAATTTCTTCACTTCAATGATCACTCCAGGTTTTCCAGCTCCACTCCGGGTTTCCCATTTTATGTTCCCTACTTGTGCAACAAACTTCCACTACAAAGGATCCTGAAGCAAGTGAAAAAGCAAATACTCCAATTTTTTTTAAAAATGAATAAAATAAAATTTAATTTAATTTAATTTGTATAATGCTGGATGGACAGTCAGAATCAGTGTTGTTATTTTTAACTTAAACTTCCGCCATTTAAAATCATTTTCGTTAACTGAAATAAAAAGAAATGTTATAATTAAATGTATAATTATAATACCTATAATTGCTTTATTATTATACAGAATTAGCTATTCAATAAATGTACAATCACTCTACTGCAATTCTGATTTTTTTTTCTGGATAAACAATTGAGCATTTGAGCATTTCAAGTATATGCATGCATTTACTCAATGCTGGGTGGCAAACTGGTTTCCTAAAATAATTACAAGCGTATTGATACTATCAGTCACTTTCTATAACAAACAGTGGCACATTCAACATCTGGCTTTAGTGTATGAGAGCATACAAAAGGTATTTTTTAATTTCCACTTCCACTTGAATATTTAATGTCTCATTTGTATTTCAACAAAATAGGCAATCCATTCAATCCTGCCATTCATATAAAGACTCTTAACAGCAGCTACAGTAAAATTCACTCTTATTAAAATGAATCATTTGTAACCCTGCAGAAAAAATTGGTCTTGAATTCTCGGGTTCATTTCATGCAGTATGTGTTCCTTAGACATTTGTGGATTCATCTAAAATTGTCTATGCAGGAGTTTAATGGTTGTATTGATGTTCACCCTAGTTGTTTGCCAATTAGTATACATTGGTAATCAATAACTGAATACATAAATCAATAATCACTGTTGTTGATCCCTGAAATTAGAGTTTTTCCACGAGTAACCTGACACGGCCTTCAGCATATCCATATAAATTCAACACGACACTCATCAGGACTACCCATGTCTAATAACTGGTTATATTCAAAGCAACTGTAAAGAGAGTCAATGCAACATGCCTCGTTTGAGAACAATGCAACATAATGAACTCATCTCTGTTTGTGCATTGAGTTGCAAGGATGCACTGTAAAAAAAAAATTCCGTAAAATTTCCGGTAAAAAAAACGGCAGCTGTGGTTGCCGGAATTTTACCGTAGAAAAATACGGTAGCAACGTTTTAGGTTTTAACTTAAATTTACAGTTAAATACCGTAATTTCATTAACTGATATAATGTTAATATACCAACCTATTGAAGTACTGAAATCTGTTTCAGTACTTACTAGTTATTTCAACAATAAAACATCAAATTTGAATTCTGGGAATGTCAATTTACGGTTATTCACTGTAAATTATACAGTCGTTTTCACTTCCAAAAAAGGTATACTACCGTAAAATTAATGTCCAATACATGTAATGTCCAATACAGTTTTTCACCGTAGATAGTAGGGGAATTTACCGTTAACCATTTAACAGGTTTTTACTGTAGCATTTTTACAGTCTTTTACCGTTAAATTCAAGGTCATTTTTTACAGCGTGTAAGCGGTTTAGGTTTAACATGGAAATATACATTGTGTGTTTGTGTGTGTGTGTGTGTGTGTGTTTTAATTTTGAAGACATTAAATCAGTAGTTGTGGAACTACAGCTGTAGTTGGAATGGCTTAAATACAATGTTTAGCCTATGCATTTTTGGTAACTCACTGCATCATTACAGTATGCCTAGTCACATGACACAACATCCAATGAGCTTTAATGGTATAGTCCTATTAAGTCACTATATTGCTTGAGAAGACGTTTATTAAAACGCTGCAGTTGTGTAAGACATTTAAAACGACGTCCTGAATGCCCAATACCATATTTATCACTTCAGTTTGTGAAAGAACGTTATAGAAAGATTGAATCAGCTGATCATAAAGTGCCCTTTAACAGTACTTTTATACATAGGCATGCATTGTGTTATTATTAATGTTACATAGCCTACAAAAAAAAAAAAATAAACATGCATGTGACATTAATTGAATCATTACCAACATAATCACAGACCAATCTGTAGAAATTAATTGAAACTGAAATGAATCTTAAATGAACAGAAACAACGAGGTTAAATGTTTGATGCTAAATGTTGCAACATTATCGAAAAAGCAATAATGACGCCGTACAACATACTTCAAAAAATGATAAATATTGCTATTACAATTATTATTGTTGTTGTTGCTTTTAATAGTTATACTATACATAATATTATAATTATATTACAACATGTTTATGTTAATGTTTATGTATTACATTATAATATTATTCTACTATTTTATATATATTGCTTTAATAACATTCATACTATAGCCTAATACTATAACTATGCCATAGGTGATATAATAATTACATTATACAACAGTTGTAGGCTATACAACAAATAACTATATAATAAATATTATATTCTATAACAATAATTATTATTATTTATAACAAGAAGCAGAATGACATTAAGAACAAGAGGCTTTTGAACTGTTGTTGTTGTATCTGTCACGGCATTGTCAGTGTTAAATCTGTTTTGAGTCTCAGATGAATACCCAGCGAAGAATTCTCCAAGTGTGGCATCGTTCCTTCGCCCCTGCAGCTCCACACACTCTCTGGAACACATTCACACTCTCTCAGTGGAGAGCAGGGGGACGCTGTCTCTGTTGTGGTCTGACAAGAAGCTCTGCTTTTCCTCCTTGCAAGCTTTCGAAATCGCCCATGAATTCCCTCGCGTAAAGCGGCGCGAGCGTCCGTCCTCTTCCGTCTAAAAGGGTTGAAGATAAGAAACCTCCTCATCATGAGCAGCGTGAGCAGTTGCGGTTTCCTGAATATGGCGACGATAGGAGACTTCGACCCGCTCAACGCCACTATTCCTGCTACAAAAGTTGAGATTACAGTCTCGTGCAGGTGAGGAAGGTTTAAGCACCGTTCACACCTTTTTACGCACAACTGCCTTTGTATTGATATCATGTGTGATGGTGTTTTAATGGTACATTTTGGAGAAGACGCAATTACGCGTGACATTTTGGCTAGGTTATAACCTGGTTTCTTCCAGAAATATCACCCGTAAGTGTGTGTTTATGAAGTGTAGTGTATGTGGATATTATAATGGAAAACTGTTTATATTTCAACCGTACTTTTACTCTCGGAGTTTGTCTAGCTGTCACTTTCTTTCGCACCAAAACAAACGCTTAACTTAAAACAGAAGTTTTGTTTTGTTGGGGAATAACTGTGTGGTGCTTTGCTGAGATGGATTACAACTTCAGAAGTGAATTGAATTGCTTTGCAGTTTGATTAAAGGTGGATTGTGTAATGATTATGATTTTTCCCCCCTGTGTGTGTGTCTTAGTCAAACGGTAAACCGTGATGTGGGCTTGCCATTGAATTACATACATAACTAATGATATTTTCTATCCATAAAACGGTACGTTCTTTGGTATGTTTATTAAACCGTTCTTATTCAGGTTTACTATTTTTTAAATAGTATTCGCAATGTAGGAAAACCTGATCACACACTAGACTTCTCATTGACTTTTGTTGTTTTTATATTAAATGATTACTAGCGCTAAAAATAGCGCTTCGAAAAAGCCTTTTAGATTATGTATTGATTTAAATTGAAATTAAATTGCGAAGCTCCACATGTTTACACACGGATATGATCATTTGAATTAAGTTTTTGAAGTCCCTTGTCATACGCAAGCTTGGCATCTTTTAAAATACTGTTATGATTGATCTGGCTAATTTCTCATTTCAGAGTGTAAAATGTTATTTATGTTAATAAATCATCTACATACTATAGGATTACTGGTGATTTGCCTTTTGAGAAGCAAGCTATTTGGAGAATGATTATTTTCATATCTCATAACAACAGCCTGTCGTTTTTGGTTAAGCTGAAAAACGATGGCTTTAATGAAGCAGACAAAAAAACGTGTTTGGGGAAATTATCGATTGTTTGTGCACTCTAAAAAATGCTGGGTTATTTCAACCCACACTGTAAAAAATAAGTGTAATTTTAACTGTAAAATTTTGTAAAAACGCTATGGAAAAAAACTGTTAATAGGTTAACAGTAAGTTCCCGTAAAACTGTCAAATATCTAACCAGACATTTCATGTAATTTTACAGTAAAATGCTGTTAATTTGACAGTTTTTAGAAGTTAAAATAACAAATCAATGTATAATTTACAGTCAAAAACTGTAAACTGATATTCCCAGAATTCCCTGCATGACACTCCACATTTGAAAGTATTTTGTTTAAATAATCATGTTTTTTTTAATAGTTTTTGTTATTAGTTATGTATATTTGTGCTTGTAGATGTTACATCTTCTGTTGTTTAATGAAAGTTGAATGCATTATTTAAGTATCATGTGTGTTACCATCATGGTGTTTTGTGTTTGCATGAATGACTCTGTGCACCTTCTATATATTAGTATA